ATTGGAGCATGCAGTGGTACCTGCAGCTACAGCTGCACAAAGGCGTATTGTAGCAACTAGAAAACACTGTACTCGTGTCCTAGGCTCTCATGAGAAGCAGTAGATGGCCAGAGTACAGTAACTCCTATTATTGACCTGTCCCATTGGCCTTTGGGTTGGGCCAAGCCAATGGCCCTGTTGTTTGGTTCTTTAGTCGTTTCTAAAATTTATGTCACATCGAATGTTTAGATACTAATTAGAAGCATTAAATATAGATTAATTACAAAATCAATTACATAGATGGAGGCTAATTTGCGATACGATTTTTTTAAGCTTAATTAATCTATCATTAGCACATGTTTACTGTAGTATCATGTTGTCAAATCATGGACTAATTAGGCTTAAAAGATTCGTCTCGCAAATTAGTCGCAAGTTGTATAATTAGTTTTGTAATTAGTCTATATTTAATACTCCATGTATGTGTCCAACATTCGATGTGACAGGAATTTTAAGAGACACTGTTGTAACCAAACAGGCCCTTATTATGCCCTTATGGCGCCAGCCACACTTGACACTTGTGTATCCATCTCGGATGGAAGTGGAAGCAACCAACCAGCCCTGCTTGAAGCATGATCGAGATGCAGGGCTGCTGCATGCGATTGCGAGCGGTCATCATAGTAGGTACGTACAAGTCTAACGGTGCCAATGACAATGAGCAGCTGCTAGTAGTACGTACGTAGTACCACTCCCTAATCGGCGCTACCATGCATACCGGCCCCGTGAGTTTCACCGAAATTTAGGTTACCCTGATTCACGATCGATAGAACAGGGCCGCTAGCAGTTAGCCGATGTTACTTACAGCAGCTCAGTTTGCGAGTAGTACTACTACTGTAGGAGTACGTATACTCAACGTCATTATTATTATTATTCAGGTCCGTGCTGCAAAAGCAGACAAAAACACATGCATGATGCCATCGCTAGCTGCTACTACTGTAGCCGTGCTTGTGTTTCCCACGATGATCCATTCATTCATTTTCAGACAATAATCTATCTACGTACTACAGTGCTAGAAATGCAGTTGGATAAAGATGAAAGCAGCACAGCAGCATGATGATGATGATGATGAACCTTACTGTAGGAGCCAGAGCACACAGCAACTGGCAACTGCAAGGCTGCCAGGTGCCAGGTGCCAGCCAGCAGCTGTGCAATGCAAGCATCGGGGCCCGGTGGCCGAGACAGTCGCAGTCGCAGGTGGCAGCACGCCATCACTGTGTCGGTGTCACTCGCAGTCACAGGCCGGGGCAGGGCAGTTCCTTCGTTCCTTGGTTGTCGTGCTCGTGCAAGGCAGATCTGCTGCTGCAGCATGATCCGCCAATACAACGATGCTCCATTTGGTACGAGAGAAAAATTACTGTTTGTTAACCGAAAAAATACGCCTTATACGTGAAGCGAACAAGCCAAGGCAACGAGAGTATCCAACTCCTCCGTCCGTAGGAGCGAGCAGAGGCATTCGCATGTTGTCCAAAAAAAAATAGAGACAGTACAATGATGCAACATGACTATAGGTACCATGCTCGCTCGTGTGTCCTGTTATAGCCATTAGCTACCTGCGGCTTCATTAGCCTTCAGCTTCGATGCGGTTTGGATTTATTGTCCCTTCAAGGCTCAACATTGGTTTTATTCGAACATTGATTTTTGCCACATCAGCTACCAGCATGGCCATAGTTTAACCATGCTAGAGCAAATATAATAAAAGATTATTAGTAGACTTTATACTGAGGTGGAGGAGAGAGAAGAGAAGTTGGTTGTAAGTCTACATGGTCAACTAATGCACAAGAACAGAAAAACTTTTTAAGTTAATTATAATACTTCATCTGTTCCACAACCAGTGTCATTCTTATTTTTTGAAAAATCAAATATTTTTAACTTTCACCAAACATATACAAGAGATTATTAATATTTATGGTGCATAATAAGTATAGTTAAATTAATTATTGAATGTATTTTTATAATAACCTTATTTAGAAATATAAATGTTGCTAATATTTTTTATAAACTTAAAAAATCCTAGATGGCTTTCATTTTTAGGACAGAGAGAGTATTAGCAGCTCTTGGATCGGATCCACCGCAGTCTTTTGTGCAATGTTGCACGGTTGCACATGCCCTCAGGCTGCTTTTCTTTCTCTTTTTTTTTCCATGCAAAGACTAGCAAAAGGCGAGTAAAGAAATGGCGAAGCATACGCTCGCTGGCAGACACGCTCCCTGCCAATCACAACTCCCGCCGCGACCTTTAGTAGATCACTCGTACTAAATTCTCTATTTTTTTACCCTCTTCGTCCGTACAGTGGCATTTACGTTTGAAACTGCACGATAGTACTGGACCAAAAAATTCACGATTCTTCAGCAGTGTATCCATCTTTGAATTTGGCTTTTGTATATATAGTATATAGTATTGTTGTGTGCAAAAAGGAGTGGACGCACTCATGGCTGCCTGATCTCATTGCGCTTGACTTCCACAAAGGGCAAAGACTATGAAGAGTGGAGCCTTACCAAATACTGATAACCGCCTCTTGAAACCAAATAACAAGTCACAACTTGGCATAGAAATATCACATATGGTCTCGTTGCTAGATTAGAGAGAGTATGCTGCACAGCCTGTTCGCTTGGTCGTAAACGATCGTAAATTTCTAGCCAGAACAGTGTTTTTCTCTCACACCAAACCAACCAGCAGTAATAATCCACGATCGTATACGATCGTTTCAGCTCCAGCCGAACAGACTGATTGTGTGTGTGTGTGGGTGTGTGGGAGGGGGGGGGGGGTGATAGGCCAGTCAAGAATTCAAGTTCCAATGCATGTATGTACTTGACATATCCCTTTGTCTGCCTAGGTAGGGTAACTTTCCTCTCTTTTATATGATAAAGATAAAGAAAATACTCCGTGTCATCTAGGCCGATCGATTAACTCAAACATTGGTTAGACTTCATATGACACGCTTAATAAGTTTAAAAACTTGGACGTGCATTGTGATATAGTTTGAGAATCAAGATGGCACCTCGAGCCAAAATTAAGGACCGGTGATTACACCATTCCAAACACAGAGTGAGAGGGGGTGGTTTACTAATAAGTTTGATGGAGTACAAAGGTGTTCATCTCCATCTGGCAATGTGTATCCAGATTTTATTATTTTGCCACAGGTTTTCTTTTCCTTTTTTTATGAGCGAGAGGATGGAATTAAAGAAGATTCTACCCACAGATTCAAGTGTCTTGCTTTTGCTAATGAAAGTACTTCCTTCGACCCAAAAAGAATACAACTATGTGTTGTGTGCCAATCAAAGCGGTCCACGTCTGACCAAGTTTCTAACAAATGAGTATTCACATTTATGGCTCCACATTAATATATTATATGAAAATACATTTCTTAATTAATCTAATGATATTTATTTGATGTCATAAATATTAATACATTTTTATCTATAATTGATCAAACTTATAAGATACTAAAACATGATATTGTACTAGAATTGCATTTTTTTCTTGGACGGAGGAAGGAAGTAGTACTTGGGCGGTGTTCACGGCGGCTCAGCTAAGGTGATCTGAATAATCTGCATGAACTAACCCTAGGGGAGACATTGTCAAATTTGTATGAGGTGATAATAGAGTAGTTTATCCAGTTTTCCAGACTCTTGCTCAACCAAGGGCAGACACTCCATCTCGAGGGCTACGAGGAGGACGAGGAATAGGATATATAGATCAATCAATAATACTAGTACATAAAAAAAGCCGGCTCATCAGGGAGCACCATTCCCGGATTTGAGAGATCCATATAGCTCGTGACCATCATCGTCATCGCACACGCACTAGATGTATCATTAACCTCGCAGACGATTATCAATTATCATGCTTGGTAAGACGAGCTGCCCGGCCGTTTGATATGCACCATTTTATATTTCCTAATTGCTCCAATTTATATTTTGAAAAAAATATATAATCTCAATATATACCTAGTGCAGTGCAGTGCATTAAATGTTCGGGCGGTGATTTACCAGAATTAATCCACATTTATAGTCTCTCTAGATTCTGAATAATAATCTGTAATATATTGCCTCCGTTCCGAAAGTGCATTTTGTGATTATATAACCAACAAATAACCGGCAATAACATATCCCTTTGGACTAAACTAGTTAACATTGTCTAGTACATATTGCTTAATTCAGTAGCGGTCTAACGGACCTAAAGCAAATCATATGGAAGGCACTTGCCTTGTTGTGTAGATTTGTGCTATATAGGTACTCTCCTATCTAAGAAAAAAAATACAATTATAGTACATTGTCATGTTTTAGTATTTTAAGTTGACTAATTATAAAAAAAATATCAGTACTTATGATATCAAATACATATCATTATATTAGTTACAAAATGTATTTTTCATAATAAATATATTTGGAGCCATAAATATGAATACTAGTCACTAAAAGCTTGGTTAAACGTGAATCACTTTAACCGTCACGTAACCCATAGTTGCATTTTTTCTTGAATGGAGAGAGTACATACATAGTGAATTTTGATTATGTTCACTATTTATAAACTTTTGATAGGTGTATTTGCGTCTACTAATAATAATATAGCGTCATTTCTGACATAAATCATACTCCTTTGTCCAAAAACATATGTTTCTAGCTCTGAATCTGGACAAGCTAGAAACACATTTGTTTTGCGACAGAGGGATTACTTTTTTTTTTTTAGAAAGGACAGAGGGAGTACTACGTGCAACCACAACAGGTGTGCCGTGCAGTGGTCTGGGCCGAAGGAGAGCAGCAGCCAGCTGGATTGCAGGAAGCCGAATGCATTGGGCCGGGCCTTCATCAGAACGTCTCATCTGATCATCTCCAATCGCGCTCTCACTAAAAAAGGAAAAATCAGTTTCTCTGCTCAAAAAGAACCAAAAAAAAAAAAAAAAATCGAGTTGCCGCCGTCAACCAAACGAGTCGCAGAAGAAGCCCTCGCAAAACCCTCCCCCTCGATGGCCGGTGTGCCGCCGCCGCCGCGGCAGCTCGAGGTGCGGCGCTTCGCGGCCGCCCGCGCCGGCGAGCTCCGCTCCCTCTACGCAGCCGTGTCGTCCAGACTCGACGACGCCGGCGGCCCGCAGCAGCCCCGTTCCGCGCGCCGCCGCACCACAGGGCACCTCCCCAACAAGCGCCGCCGCCGGGGAGCCGGAGAGGTGGGTCCCGGGGACGACGGCGGCCTCCCGGCGTGGAAACAGTCCAGGACGGTGAGGCGGCGGCGGGAGCTCGCTGGCAACCCCGCGGAGGGGTTCTCGGTCGCCGGCGACGGCGCGCGGCGGCTGCGCACGCACCTGTGGTGTGCGAAAAGGTTCGTCATGGAGAGGCGGTGGGGATTCATCTTGCCCGTTGGCGCCCAGGGGAGGTGAGCAATGGCCTTGTTTTTTTTTCGGCTTCAGTTGAGCAACGGCGGTGTGTTTTTTTTTTCGGCTTCAGTTGGCTACAATCGTAAAAGAAAGCAGTATTTTTAAGTTGTTTGCTCCTCAATAAATTGGCAGTAGTGCCGCCCGTGCAGGAAAAAAGATATTTATTTTGTAACCCTACTGCACCACGAAAGAGTATTTTGTTGTTTTAATGTTGGCTTCAATCTTTAGCTAGTATACAAATGGCAGTCCTGGTAGAGGATGCTTGACCAATCTGAAATGCAGATGTTGTAAGATGGCCAATCTGGTACCTTTCCCTGTCTGCAGCATCTGTTAATAGGAGAGGAGGGAATTCTTTCTAATCAACTCCGTTACCTGATTTGTATACTGTGATATGTAGATGCTCCTGGTGTAATTGAAACTTTGTAGCCCTAACATGGTTATTATACATTCCAGGGCGAGGGGCTCAAGATGTGTTCTCAAGCGTCTGAAAAATGGCACGACTATCCATGATGCTGGCTACTTCATTCCAATTGAGCTAGATGGTCCAGAGGTACACGCTCCTGTTCTCTTTCCCTTGCTTGCTTGTAATTTTTCCCCATCCTAGCTGTTATGAGTGGCTTCTCTTCTGATGGTTCAACAATCTTACTGAGTGTGCCGCTCACTCCAGGACGCCCTGTTATCCATTCTCAGAATGGTTCTCGCCCCATCTCCTGTAGAAAACACACCTGATTTGAAGCATCTACAAGATCAAGTAATGCGAGGTGTTTGCTATGAGAATGCTATGGTATTTACATGTTCACCACAGACAGTATGGGGTACAAGTATTTAAAGTGACAACTCTGACTTAATTGTTCTTTCCAGCTTTGGGATGTTAGGAGTCTGCATTCTCAAATTGTTGGACCAGTAACGTATATGTGGCGTCCATTCTCAAGAGCAGATGACAAATCTGAGATTGAAGGAGATCCATGCACATCTCACAGCATTCTGTGCAAGCGGCAATTCCTCACGACGCCAGAGTTGTGGATATGGATTCATCCCGCTGCACTCAATGAAGGGATTAGTGTAATAAGATTTGCATGTGAGAGACAGGTGCTTCCTCAATTTCTTATCTAAGGCTTTAACTTGCAGTTTTCAGGTTTGTTTGGAGGGCAAAGGAGAAACTTATTTCAGTATGCTAAAATTTGAAAATAGTTTTTTAAGTAGTTCGCTCCTTGAATTGGTAGTTTCACTAATTTGTAGAGAACTTCTTATACTTTTAGTGTGAGTGTGTCGATATGCAAGGGAGATGTAAGTTATGTAGAATACTTTTTTGTCACTCTTTTTTATTTTTAACCAGCACAAATACATGACTCCAAGTAAAACTGTATTTGCACTTCCTATTCAGATTAAAGTGCAAACTACTCACAGAAAATACAGGATGCACCGCAATTTGTGTTTAATAGGAGGAATGACAAAAAGAAAACCTCGTGCCTTTTTTTTTGTTGGTTAGCTTCGCTAAACAAACAGATGAGTTGAGTGTTTTTATTTTTAGCTGTTGACCAGAAAATACTAGTCATTTTGTCATTTTCATGGTTGAAGGTACCATTCACCAGTTTTTATATCCTAATGAGAAACATCCACCTGCTCAGTACCTAAGCACTTTAGAAATTGCTGCTTTTATGATCTGAATGTAGGAATTAAGATGCTATTTGGTGAGCATAATTTACCTTGTGCAATGTAATCCTTACTACTAATGTAACAGTTATTAGAAGCAAGTTTCCTCCTTGTAATACTAGGGTTCCTGCTTTCATCTCACCATATAATATCCTGCCCTGCACTACAGATTCAAGATTCCGCTGGTGTTGTTAAATGTTGCTCATTAGAGGGAAAAATTGCAAGATTGGAAGTCAATGGATGCAAGGCTATGCAATCTCTTAAGAAGATTTTGCATCCAACCAAGTAAGTCTCTTCTTCTTTTGGGAACTAAGTTACTGTTACCAGTGAGAAAACAAAGGTGCCAAGGCATGCTAATTTATGTCTTTTTATTAACAATGCAGTTCAAGTAATATCAACATGGTATCAGATACAAGTGATATCTCTGCATCAACTGATACTCCCCTAGATTCCCTTACCGTCCCTCATCTTTCGAAAGCATCCGTCATTGATAATGCTGACATTCTTCAGCCTGGTGCTATACTATCCATGGTAGTTCATGACCCCAGAGAAGTTTCAGTCAAGGAACAGATTCTTCTAAATTAGCCTCCCTTGACAAGCAGAGCAAAGTTTTGGAGGAAGATGTAGCCCCAAATGCTAATGAGGCGTCATCAGAGGTTGCAAATATGTTGCCATTGATGTGGATGTACCCTGGGAAGCATGATATATTCCTTTCTGACTGTAGGGAACTGTGGGACTCCAGGCAAAGCATAAATCCTCCTGTGTCAGATGAGGTTCTTTGTAAGGAGAAGCACTGTGAACGTATGAAGTTTTTCTGCTTGGATTCAGGAAATGATCAAGGGCGAACAACCCAAGAGAAGGATAACTTCATTCGATCCTGCCCGGTTATTCTTTTGAAACATGCCGGAGAGGGAATGCCTGCTCTAGGGTAAGGCCTATCTTTTGTCCTTGAAGATGTCACATACTACATTAGATGTCCTGCTTGCAAGAGCATATGAAGAAATTGTTGACTTCTATGCTATCCTACATATTGTCCCATTATATAAAGGAAAGGGGCATTTGCATGGTTGCCCCATGTTGCTTCCTAATTATGAGTTTGCCCCTCCTATCATGACACCTGAGTCTATGTATCTCATGCTCGTTTCAGATTTAAGTTCTTTTTGGTTTTGCTTCTTAGAAGAAATATAATCTAGATGCAAAAGGGCGCCTAGTCTAGTGGTTAGGATGTTGAGTAGCATACCTCAGGTCCTGGGTTCGATTCCCCGTGGGAGCGAATTTCAGGCTGAGGTAAAAAAAATCCCCTCGTCCGTCCCATAAACCAAAGCACAGGTCTAAGGCCCGGCCCAATTCTCACTTGGGCAACGGATTCCGCTGTGTAAGGTTGGGGCGGCCCGCGGGGGTTCGGGGGGTTTTCTCGGCTTGGTGAGAAGGTCTTCTTATTGGAATGCTGTGGGGGCAGTCATACCCCCTCGTAATAGAAAATATAATCTAGATCAGTTATCATGAGTTTTGATTTTTGAACTCTATTTTATGTCTTGAATTCCTATATAATGTGCTATTATGGTTTCCCTAGTGAGTTGGTGCGGTAACCTTTCAAATGATGAAAAGTTGTGATTTATATACTATATATTGTCATCATGTAAGCCTGCTAATGAGTTTGTCTTATTGTCCACATTGAATGAATATACAGGTGGTCCATCATTCTACCGTTGAGTTGGGTGAAACCTTTCTGGCCCTTTCTAGTATCTCATGGTGCCCATGCAATTGGCTTAAGAGAGAGACGGTGGATTGCAGCAAAGGTATTTGCATGTGTAATACAACGAAAAGCTAATTATCAGCCAGTAGCTTCCTTCCAATTATCGCTGGTTTTTTCTTGAATGGACAACTATTGATGAAGCCTTAAATTTATCAAACTGTTATTGCAATTGTTCAACTTAGCAACAAAGCTATCCCATATATGAAATACAATTAGAATGAACAGTGGTGAGATCTTACCTTTTGTTGGCAGAGTCAGTAAATGTCAAATTTGTCCATCAAGGAGTGCACAGCAGGTTTACTAGCACCATTTTTTTTATTATCTTAAACACTACTAATGCACTGATATATCCATTATGCAGTTCAGAATGCCATGCTTTCCTTATGATTATCCAGACAGCAAAGCGTATGCATCATATGCATCCAAAGAAGCTGCTGGTTTTGATAAAGTAGCTGAGCGCTGCCCTGTTGCCAAGAGACCTCCAAGCGTTCCTGTGCCTCCTTTATGGCACTGTATCATGACTTGTTTTCATAAAGATGATGGCATATTGGGTGTTCTTGAAGTAGACGACTTAGTGCGGGCTAATATGGCATTACCTAAAAACTCGTCTGTACATTCCAAATCTGGAGATGCAGAAGCATCGCAAGCAAATGTTGCATCCTTGCAACTTCATGTGCCAAGAACCACCCAAATGTTGAGACAATATGTGGAAGATTTTGATTTGAAATATCTGAGTTCATCATCTGACATGAAAGTGGATTCTGATCAACCCAACTTAGCTTATAATGACACTGTCAAAATGGCACGATTCTCGAGTGAATTATGCCTTACAAGGGTTCTGATCCGAGCTTTCAAGGTAGGTTCTTTCGAAGAGGGTGCTGTCGTTTGTGCCCCATTTCCTTCAGATCTTTCAGCTTGGAAAATCAGGTCAATATCCCACCTGTCCTTTTAGTACAGTATATTGTCTGAGGAATGCTATTCTTTTTTTCTTGGTTGATATCAAGAGAGCATGCATGCTATTTTAGTTCATGTATATTACAGAAACAATATGTACTTTATTCCTGTTTGATGTGTACTTAGCAATCTTGAGGACACCTTGGTATTTTGACACAACACGTGCTTGCTTTGAGCATTTGTTAAAATACACCTCGTTCTGTAATCTGTTTCCTGCAGTATACTTTCCAAGGAGGTAATAGGAAACAAAAAATATTTGAAGAAACTAATAATCTCATTTCATGCATGGAATAGATCAAAGGAAGAAGAGAAAGAATGCGTAGAAAAATGGGAACTCCAGCTCCCTCAGTCCCATGTTAGTTCCTATTTCTCCTGGTTTGATGATCCTAGCACCAGCAGCCTTCAGTTGCCTACAGATGCTGCCGCACGGGAGGCGTTCAGGTGGCCTATAGGCTTTGTCACCAGTGGTTTCATCCACGGAAGGTACTACTAGCTATTCCATCTCCCTTCCCATCTATACACGTCGAGCGGTACCATACTGTCATCTAGTAGTAGTAACTTGGGAGTACACTTTGTTTCACTTATCGCAGTAATGGGCAAGACGCGGTCGCTGTCGCATTCTGCGAGGCAAAGCTTCTGGCAGTATTGAGGCGACAGCAATGGGCGCATGAAAACTTGCAGAGCCGGGAGATCTGCGTCCTTGTCAGGAATGCAAGATCGGCTGCGTACCGACGAGCGCTGGCCACGATCGTCCTGGAACATCAGGAATCAGACCTAGAGTTTCTGTTGTTGGGAACCTGTTGATGTTGTGTTGAGTTTCATCCATCCATTGTCAAAATCTGCTGCTATCACTGAACCGCCACTGTCAGTAAACCGTGTCATTGCAGTTTTGATAACGCCATGTTTGCTTGAACTTATTGGCATGTTTTATCAGTCATGGTAGAGTGTTTTTTTTTCTCATAACAAATCGGCTTATCAATCGTAGAAACCATCAGCCGAACACTATGATCTGTTTTTTTTGTCAGTTGATACTTGTGACTCCAGAGTGGCATTGCTTAAGTTATGCATTGTGCGTATACGAGTGGTTAAAAATGCTGTATTGGTGTCCAGCATCATGTGCCTTTCCTTTTGTTGGGGCGACGTGTCAGCTGGAAAGTACATTTGCCGCGTAGAGCATCGTGGGCCGGCGCAGTAGAGCAGCATGAATCCTGCAAGCCCAACCCAATACTAGTTCTTCGTGTTTCTGTGTGCACGGTTCTGCCTGAAAAAAAAACAGTTGAATTGAAGACTATTTGAGTTGAGTCCACTTGCATGCATGTACACGACACACCATCACATCACCTCTAATAAACTTCAAAGAAATGGAGAAAAGACACCATGACAAGGACGAACACCATCAAGCTTGCTAATAGGTGTTTAACAGTGCAAGACGAGTACATGCACGCATGAAACACGAGTCATTTAACAACTGACTCAGGTCCAAACAGTGTTGTCTTCATCACTAACAGACATCATAATTACGCTCTAAAGCTACATCTACATGCGTCGCATGAACCACAGTACTTAGCAGTACCCCATCTGAGCTTGTAAGGCTAGTTTCAGTGGAAGATTTCATCTCATTGTTAAGACGGGAGGGAGTATTGGTAACTGTGAATGAAACCTCCCACTGAGACCGGACTAAATACATCCCTCCATCCTGAAGTACTTCCTCCGTCCAAGAAAAAATGTAATTCTACAACAGTCTCACAGTTTAGTATACTAACTGACTATTTGTTTTCCACTCCTAAACTTTAGCCCCCGTCACATCGGATGTTTGGACACATGCATGTTGTATTAAATATAGATTAGTTACGAAACTAAATGCACAGATTGAGACTAATTTACAAGACGAGTTTTTTAAGACTAATTAGTCTATGATTTGACAATATGGTGCTACAATAAACATGTGCTAATAACGGATTAATTAGGCTTAACAAATTTGAGGACTTTTGTAATTTATTTTATTATTACTATCTGAACACTCGATATGACACCCCAATGTGACATCCGATGTGACATCCCTAAACTTTAGCCCCTGGATTTAAACACCCCTTAAGTTCGATCAATTATAGATAAAAAAAATTAATATTTACAATATCAAATAAATATCATTAGATTAATTATGAAATGTATTCTCAAAATAAATTATTTTAGAGCCATAAATGCGAATAGTATTCACTAGAAAATTGGTTATGAACCACTCTTGCTGACACGCAACCCGTAGTTGCATTTTTTTTCTGGTAAGAGGGAGTAGATGTTATTCTCGTTTTCCGAGGAGTTAAAACTTTTAAACTTTGATCAAATAGAATAAGAAACTATTAATATTTATAATACATAATTAGTATCATTATATAGATCATTAAATTTATTTTTATAATAAATTTATTTGAAGATGCATATGTTATTAGTATTTTCTAAAAAAGAAAGCTTGACCGGCACGAATACCTTAGCGTTCGGACAGAGAGTATACGGATGCTCAGAGTAGATCAATCGAGTGGAATGTAAATTCAATCGTAAATTTAAACCACCCATTATACTAGTATAGTGTCCGTGCTAACGCCACGGCGTCATTTCAGGGATGCACATAAAAACTTGAATTGTATATGTACACATTAATCAAAAAGTCAGGCTTGGCATTATTGATGAAACTTGAAATTTATTTATACACATTAATCCAAACTTTATATATACACATTATAATCATATGAACAGCTCTACACTTCCTCCAATTCTGAATCTGACAGTGAAGATGTCATGAGCGTCTTGCCACTGTTGACGAAACTTGATAATGACAACCTCGCAGTGAAGACTGCCTCAAGTTGCACTGCAGCAGAACAGCCTCCACTTTCAGTAAAAGTACAAAACAATGAATCTGTGGTGCTGACCATCCATAGCGAGCATTCCTATTTTTCCTGATGAGAAACCTGATTTGTAGCATGAGAACTTAAGTAATTGGTATAGTATTCAAGGGTGATCCATTGTATATGCTAGCCTTCCTGTACAAGGTGTAAAAGGTTCAGGGAAAAATCCTTGGTCAAAAGTTTTGACCTAAACTCTGATCATACCATTGCACACTAAACTTATAAAGGAACCAAGGCAAAACCATTTGATAAATCTATGCACTACTCAAAGGACAAACACAACAGATGTATTGATTTTCAAGGGAAATATGACGCCATACAAAAGGACAAATCCTTTTTTTTTTCAAATCACACAATTAAGTTTATTGAGTTTTGACAAAACTAAACCAAGAAACTATAGAAATTAAATTCGGGTGTATCTTACTTACAAACATTGCTGTGAACCTTTACGCTATCTCTGGAGGTGAAGAAATTATGCATTTACCCAACATGCAAGAAAGAACCTGTGGTGTTGTGCAAACCAGATTGCTGACCTTCCCCTTCGAAATTGGTGAAAGATTCTTCTTTGCTTGAATAATGGCTAGAAAGAAAAAAATAGAGAGGGAGGTTGAGAAAGCGCTCACCTGTTGCATATCCAGAATTTCTTGATACCCTTCTCCTCCCACATCTCAAAGTTTAGTAAGTAGGCCCATAAAATCCACCAAGAACAAAGCCATTTTTGCATTAAGCAACTAAGCAAGTCTGCTTACCTTCACCGTATTTTCAGGCAAGCATGGCAGAGTATCCCATTAGAAGAATGGCAAGATGAGCACTTTGTCTTTCCTATCAAATATTTGCCTTACTATATTGCCCGTGCTAACGCTACGGTATTATCTAGAAAGTGAGTGAACCAACAAAAAGCATAATAACTCAGTTAAAAAAATAATAAGCATACTGTTGAAAATGAGATGAAGCTAAGAAATATAATAACTCAGCTAACAAAAAGCATAACAAAACTCATCTAATCGCATATTGTATTATTCTTACCATGGTACCGAAAAATCCATGATAAAACCCCCACCAAGAATACCTTCATTATTAATTTATTTCAGTCTATTTATTGCAAAGCATTATTTGTGCTTAATGAAATTCCCATATGGAAATGTCGTGCACAAACAAATGATTAGATCACAACACTTATAGCCTCTTGCACTTAAGTTTGTGGTCTTCTATGGTGCTTTTTCTTGCCGACGATTTGTCAAGTGCCAACCTTCATCCTTTATCCTCTCTTTTTCCTAAATTATTCCAAATCATGAACTTAATAAAACATTCTAAGAAGCATCCAATCATTTATAGGTTTATAATTATTCTTTTCTAAATTACCAGCTCTGGTGGTCGCTTTAAAAGAAAAAGGCTACAAATATGGCTATATTTGCATGAAATCAGTATACAAGGCTCTCAGATATGGGGAAAAAAGCTGTTCTGTTATTGCAATTCATATTATGGAACATTCTCTAACAAAAGTAAACCCTGCATTTAATTTTAATGCCTTCCCCACCTTATCATATATTCTTAAACACCAAGTAATATTGTGAAATTGTGAAATATGTACCACCCAAACATTTAGGTCGATCAAACTTAGGCCACGTTTAGTTGCCCCAAATTCTAGAATTTGGCACTATGCAAAAAGAAGATTTCCCGTCACATCAAACTTGCGGTACATGTATGGAGTACTATATGTTGACGAAATCAAAAACTAATTACACAGTTTGGTTGTACTTTACGAGACGAACGTTTTAAGCCTAATTAGTCAACGATTGAACAATGATTACCAAATAAAAACAAAATGCTACAGTAGCTACAGTGCACCCTTACTGATTCATTAATAAAGTGCATGCTTACCTTTGTTCAATGTTACCATATCATTCTTGGCCTTGTTTAGATTGCCTCTAAATTCCAAATTTTTTCACACTCTCTCCATCACATCAATTTTTGGACACATGCATGGAGCATTAAATGTAAGTAAAAAAAGTAACTAATTACACAGTTTAGTTGTAAATCACGAGAAGAATCTTTTGAGCCTAGTTAGTCCATAATCGAACAAAGTTTGTTAAATACAAATGAAACGTGCTACAGTGTCCAGATTGTAAAAATTTACAATCTAAACAAGACCCTTGTAACTTTGCTACTATCATGGCAGCTCACAGGAAGACATCCCAGGCCTAGTGACTGGAGCTAGCTCTGACTTGACACAGTGACACAGACAAGAGGCACCTGGCTGACCGGCGATGTCAGTGTCTTGGCGTGAGGCTGCTGCTGGGCCCCACCTCACGTGCCAGACTGCCAGGTCAGGTCATTACGCGGCTATAAGGGGGTGTTCGGTTACAGGGACTAATTTTTAGTCCCTGTCACATCGGATGTTTGGACACTAATTTGGAGTACTAAATATATTCTAATTACAAAACTAATTACACAGATGGAGACTAATTTACGAGACGAATCTATTAAGCCTAATTAATCCATCATTAGAGTATATTTACTGTAGCACCACATTGTCAAATCATGCACTAATTAGGCTTAATAGATTCGTCTCGCAAATTAGTCTCCATCTATGTAATTAGTTTTATAATTAAAATATATTTAATACTCCAAATTAGTGTCAAACATCCGATGTGACAGGGACTAAAAAATAGTCCCTGGAACCAAACACCTCCTAAGTCACGTGCTATCCGATCCTCTGCACATGATGCCTTTCTTCCCTTGTTTTTTGTTTTGCTTTTTTTTTTGGTTCATTCAAAAATAAAAAAGAAGAAGTTTTGTGTCTTTGTTCCTTGTTGAAACAAGAGTATTGCAAACAGGGAAGAAAAGAAAGCAAAACATGCAGTCAGTCCTCTGTTTTGCTTGATCGATTATACGTATATAACAAACAAAAGCGTCATGTTGTACTGCCGGGCCTATTCGTTTTTTTAAAAAACATTACATTTCCACAAGAGGCAAAGCAATAATACAACAATTATCAATATACTCTACTAATTAATGCAGGCATTTTGCTTGCTTGCTTGCTTTTGCATTCAAACGTCACACGTTCACACTTGTGAAGCACCATTCACATTCAGCTTACAATTTAAATTTAAGCAAAGCAAGAGACAAATCAAATATTGTCCAAAAAAGGGGCAAAACAAAATCGATCGATCAACTTCGAACAGCTAGCAGAGGAGAAATGTACAGGCCGCGCGCGCGCATTCCATTTCCATCCAGTCCAAATCCAATCAAAGAGCTGAGCTGAGCTAGGGCGGAGCAATCGATGGCGCCGCCGTCGGCGCGGAAGAAGACGACGCCGACGCCGACGCCGACGCCGACGCCGCGAGGTCGTGCGTGAGCTGGCCCATGGCGCGCACCTGCATCTCCAGCGCAGCGATGTAGTCGGACACCTCGGCCAGGAGCGCGGGCAGCGACAGGCTCCGGCACCCGGGCACCAGCCGCCCCAGCACCTTGGCCCTGCCAGCCAGCCCTCCCGGCCGCCACTCCTCGGTTTCGCCGCCCTGCTGCTGCTGCTGCTGCTGGTGCCGCTTACGGGGCCTCGGCGGCGGCGGCCGGCGCGCGCGGAGGCAGTGGAGCGCCCGGCACCGCCGGCTGCGTGCCAGGATGGCGCGGCTCCAGTGCGAGTGGCCCCGCGCCGCGACGGCCAGCGCTCGGTAGGCCGCGTCGCGCACCGCCGGGGCGGAGGCGGAGCAGGTGATGAGTGTGCCGGTGCCGCCGCCGCCGCGCACGAGGCGCAGCGCCTGGAGGAGCTTGGAGGAGTAGGCCTGCTGCGCGCGCGGCGTCCGCCACTTGGACGACGGGCCCTGGTGGTAGTCGCCGCCGGATGCGGATGCGCATGCGCCCGGCGAGCCCCTCTTGCGCTTGCCGCGGGCGCCCTCGTCGTCAGCGGAGGAGGAGGAGGATGACGAGGAGGATGGCATGGTGGCCGGCGGTGTGTGCGCTTTGGTTGGTTGTGGACGTGGGGGAGTAGAAGGAACGCCACGGAGGGAATTATATATAAAGGAGACGGAGACGGAGGGCTATCAATTTCATAGTATATACTTATATTAAAATATAAATTTAGTACGAATTCATGGATGGATATTTATTTAGTGTCATAAATTTTAACTAAATTTTGTGAAATTTAAAATGATTTGGAGGGAGGAGAGAGTAACCCAATATAGTTTTAGGCCTGATGAGATGTTGGGGGTATTTGACACGGCTCCTTTTAAGGGGCTCCTTCAGAGGAGCCAGAGCTATTTTGGATTTGTAGCTCCTCGGAAACGGCTTCGGTGCCTCCGCCACGCCGTGAACTCTCACCACTCACTAATTAACTCATGTTGTTTAGTTACTTTCAAGAAGAAAAAAAACTGATGTTGTTTAGTTTACCCAACCTTAATTTGCATTGCATGCATGAGCATGGGCGACACTAGGCACGTGTGGCTTATATCTGTCTGCTGACAGATCGATCGATCATTACCCATAGAAACAAACTTAGAATTAGAATTAGATGCTTAGCCAAAGGGGGCCTCTATTTCCCTCCTACCTGCAACATTCTGTTAACATTTGCTTTCTTAGGCCGGAACATTACAGATCTGCCACATCAATTTCTGCCAAACAAACAAAAACGGTGGGTCCTGATTTTCTGCAACATTTTATTCATCAGCCTAGGCCACTGTATTTTACTGCAAACATTGTTTTCCTTCTCAGCCCAGAGCACTGCAAATAAATCTGCTAGATTTTTGCCAATAATAAATCCGTCTGTCGATAGAATATTTTGTCTTATTTTATTTTTGTCTGCACGGGGTGATCGGGTCCATTCAGTCCATCTCCATGATATCAAATCCCAGCGCGGCAAAAAAAAAAGATACAAATGGCCGCCACCCATCATTGGCGGTTGGCGTTCACAAGTCACAAATGACAGTCGGCTTGTTCGGGAGACCGTATCATATCGTGGATTATTTACTGCTGGCTGGTTTGACGTGAGAGAAAAACACTATTTCCAACTAGAAATTTATGATCGTTTACGAGCAAGCGAACAGGGAGTGTTGGGGGGCAGGCAGAGGGTCAGAGGAAGAGGGCCAGCCGGAGACGGCCAGGGATCGATCAGGGATCAGGGATGCATCGCATGCCCCTGCTTTGTTTTGTTTTGCTTTGCTCGCCACTCTCAGCTCAGCTCAGTCGTCCGTCACATGGTGTGTTGTTTTGTTTGTTGTACCTCTCCTGGCTCCACCACCACCACCACCACTGCAACAAGCTCTGGTTTCAGTCTGCACCTGCACGCTCAAGATCACGCACTGCACTCGCCGTAGCTAGCCTAGCGTCCATCATCCGGTCTTGTACAATTTCATTTCACCATGCATCCTGCATCACATAGCCATGGCATTGGTAGTAAACAAACAGTAAACAGAGAGCACCTACTCCTTTTCCTGTCATGTTGCCTGAGCTGAAAGCCAAGTTGGACTTGCTCATCCATACTAAACCATACGTAAGTCCATCTATTGTTACGTTCTTGGGCATGGCTTTAAGCATATAATATAGGATCATACTCTAGGAGCAGAGGAGCATGCAGTAGTACAATACAAGCAAGAAAGCTACAGCCCAGCCTACATACTGGAGGCATGCAATGGTGGCCGGCGATGTTTGCAGCACGAATCCATTCCATGCATGCACGGTTCATTCAGATCAGGTGCAGATGCAGATGCAGTGCAGGTAAAAACTAGTGCAGTACACACGCACGCTGGCAGCTGGCTCTGGCTCCACCCCCCACTACGCGCTGGTCCCTGTCCCTGCTGTGGTGCGGTGGCCTGCAGCTGCTGCAGCTTCAGATTGCAGGCATGAAAAGTCAAAAATGTCCTTAGGTTTAAATATGTCATTAATTTTTTTTTTAAGTATCTTAGCGACTTTAAATGGAAAAACTCAAAACTAGAAAGTTGTATATCTCGACGAGATCTACAATTTTTATATAAAAATTATGTTCATTTAATACCGCAAAAAAGATATGATTTTTCTAAGATATATTAATCATATCAAATCATATCTTTTTTGGAATTAAATTAAGATAATTTTTATACGAAAGTTGTAGATCTCTTTCTAGTTTTGAGTTTTTTTTCATTTGAAGTCGTTAAGATGCTCAAAAAAAACTTAATGGCATATTTAGACCTAAAGGTATTTTTGACTTTTCACACCTGCAGTTCAACATCGTTAGAGTCCAATCTGGCGGCAGTGGCATGGAGGGTAAAAAATTTTTGGAGCAGTGAAGTTGAAGTCCGCCGAACTTTTTCAGTCACTCGCAAGGAATTACGATCTTTTATAATTCTCTCATGCCATTTGCCCTTGCCAACCCTTCCCTCCTAAGAATTTATTGTGAGCACGTTGGTTGTCATGTGTGCCAAGTTAAATAAATAGGAGTACTACACACACTAAGCTGCAGCTGCAGCTGTAAAAACAACTGAAGAGAGCACAATGAGGTTACTACAGTTTGGCTGTCCATGCATGTGATTTGAGTGAGATGAGATCCGATCGATCCATCATCCATCCCGGACGGATGCTAGCAAGTGAATGACGGTGGAGGAGGAGACAGCCTCACGAGGCGCCGTGTCCCAGCTGCCGCCCAGCCATCACCAGTCATCACCTCAGTCACGGAGCAGATCAGAGAGAGACATATATGATCTGACAGCTAGCTAGCGACGGAGGATGGATGACCGCGAGATCCTGCTGGCCTCAGTCGCTGGGCATTTCATCTCGCGAACAAGAGCTCTCTTGTTCAGTCACATGGCCATTCCTGCATGCACGGCCATCTTGCTGCTGGTCATGGGCATGTGATCGACCCACGATAAGTTTTTTTTTAGAGGTCAAGAGCATTAGCCCCGGTCTTTCAATTAACATCAAAAGACCACAAGTCATTACAGCACCAGAGTTTGAAACCAGAAAAAGAACGTCCACCAGGACTGAAGGAAGCCTCCAATAGCTACAGACTACACCAAAATAAAAGACACCAGGACTACAAGATATCGAGATCAAGATCCCAGATCGCCTTTTACGCCATGTTCATCGAAGCATTCAATGAAGACCACCTGGGCAGCTCCGGCGACATCTTGTCAGCAGCAGAGTCACCAGGCAAAGAGTTCTTCCAGTTCTCCTCCTCCACAACACCCCTGTGGAACTTCAAGTGATGTCTTGGTGCACATATGGGAGCCAGAGGGTCTTGCCAGCAGCAGATTTGATCTTGCTTATGTGCTCCACCAGCAACTCTTTCTTGTCGGCTGGGCATAGAATCAGCCAGCTGTAAAAGACCAGTTATCCTGAAGAAGAGCATATCCATGCTTCTCCAACCAATCCTCTGAAAACATAAATCATTTCTAAGCTTCCATATAGACCAAATGACAGCAGAGGAAATCATATTCAAGACACATTTTTTCTTATTGCTTAACTAGAATTTTCCTACTTCAACCGCATCTCCCCCAATCTGGCTACCTACCACCTCAGACATAACTTTCCAACATTGCTTAGCTACCACACAGTCAAAGAAAAGATGGTGAATGGATTCTTTCTCTAAACAGAACAAGCAATTTTCATCTTCCACTTTCCTTCTTTTTGTCAGATTATCTCTAGTTAAAGCTCTATTATTAATCACTAACCACAAAAATAATGGACTCTGGGAGGGATTTTTAAACTCCAAACAGCCGAGACATGAACTGTTTTGATACCTCTAAAATTAATAATTCTATAGAGAGACTGAGAGGAGTAAACTCCAGAAGTGTTAAAATTCCAGATCATCTCATCCTCCTCCTCATAGAACTGCACAGTAGCTACAAGCTCTACAATATCCAACCAAGACTGATACATCTCATCAGACATGGTCCTTCTAAATGTACATTTCAAATTTACTCCATCCCAAAGATCAGCTAGAGTTTTACCCTTTTCATTGACTATCCTGTAAATGGGCCAAAATTGAATGATCAGGCTAGAGGAGCCAAGCCAAGTATCCTCCCAAAATCTATTTTTTCTCCCATTGCCTACTTTCCATCTATAACCCATCTTAGCAGCTTGAGCAGCCCACATGAACCCCTTAAAAAAGCTAGAAGCCCCTACTGTGCTAGATTGGAAGATGTTGGGGTTGGAAGTGTCATACTTATAATCAATGAGCTCTTTCCAGAGCTTTTCTTTATCTAAATTGTACCTCTTAAGCCAAGAGGCCAGCAAACTGATATTGAGATCTCTAAGACTTGGTAGACCTAACCCCCCATGTTCCTTACACATAGACACTAGTTCCCAATTAGCTAAGTGGTATTTGTGATTTTCCACAGAGTCATTCCACAGATAGTTACCCATATGAGTGTTGAGAATTATAGCCCACTTTGGGAACTTAATGAAGGATAGAAGGTACACTGGAATACTTGCTAGACAGGTCTTAAGTAACATGGCTCTAGCAGCTAGGGAGAGAAGTTTACCCCTCCATCCTGAAATCTTCTTTAGGATCTTGTCCACCAGAGGCTGGATATCATCTCTTGTTAAATTATCATAGTGAAGAGGTACTCCTAAGTATTTAATAGGAAAAGAACCCAAAGAGCAGGAAAACAAGTGTGCTAGCCTATGTGCTTCAGATGATTCTAGATTCAAAGGAACCAATTCACTCTTATGGAAGTTAATCCTCATACCAGAAATCTGCTCATACCACATAAGAACCCCTTTAAGATTTCTCAAAACTACATCATCTGCTTTAGAAAAAAGAATAGTGTCATCTGCATATTGCAGAGAAACTATGCCACCAGGTCTAAAATCTTCTAATATGCCTTTAACTAGCCCTTGGTTAGTTGTCTCAGCTAACATTCTAGATAGGCCATCACCCACCAAATTAAACAGGAAAGGTGACAGAGGGTCACCCTGTTTGAGCCCCTTCCCAGTCTTGAAATAAGAGTTGTCTTCTCCATTAAGAAAA